GGCTACTTCTACTGGCCCAATGTATTTATAAAAATTGCTAATACCGTTTCAGGGATTCTTTATTTGCTTTGTCCGATAAAAAAGTTCTGGGATCGTCTGAAGAAGTTTTGGGGGAGACTATCCACCCTACACAATCCGCTTACACAAAGCTCCAGGCATACACACTATATACACTATACAAGAACAAGCCTTCATAGGTGAACACTGCTACAATATTTCAAGCTCAGCGAACTACTCTAAGGCATTTTTAAAATACAAACAGTCTGCAGCAAGACAGCAATTGCCTATCACAGGTTCATCGAATAAGCCCTATAATTCACTCATAACACTTCTAGAATTAAATGGAATACGTTCTTCTGACAAAAAAAAAAAACAGCAGCTGGCCAGGATCACCTTCATGATTCAATACTTCCACACCTCTCTCCTGCGTTAAGGAATGCCTTGCTGGAAGCAAGGATGGAAGAAATGGGAGAGAACGATAAGGCCAGGATTTTACCCAGGTTAGAAGGAACGGTATGCTACCCTACCATAGGGAAGGTTATGAGGGAGTCATAAAGATGGAGAGATAAAGGAGAGCACGCACAGAGTTACACACCGTCAGTCGATAAAATTCAATCGGTTTGAAATCGCCGCCACGCCGCAGTGGCCTATAGTGGCTAAGATAATCGGCTGCTGACCCGCCGGTCGCGGAATCGAATCCCGGATGTGGCTGCTTCATTTACTACGGAAGCGGAAATGTTGTAGGCCCGTGTGCTCAGATTTCGGTGCACGTTAAAGAACCCCAGGGGATCAAAATTTCCGGAGCCCTCTACTACAGCGTCTCTCATAAACATATGGTGGTTTTCGGACGTTAAACACCACATATCAATTTGTCGGCTTGCCGGACGGCAATAAGCTGGTCGGCTAGCTCTTCGTTAGAGTTACTATATATAAATGTAGCATATACAGTACCTCTACTCATCCCTGGTGAGTGCCACCTCCCAGCGGCAGCAGTCGGCCCCTGCCCTCGCGCAATTGTAGCAGCAACAACTCGCCTCGAAGTTCGTCCCTGCCTAACATGCGTCGATAAGTGAGCAACGGCACCGACATTGACTTTTCCGGCATAATCCCAAAGCATGGCAGTCGCAGTGAGGCCCTTTCCCCCACGCTTTTCATGCATCCATCGGGTATAGGCTTGGATAACACAGGCCTAGGATCACCGGAGTGGGTTGCGTATTTGTTTGCAATAATCTCAAAGTTACGGCCAGTCTTTTGTGTAATTTGTTGTGTGGTGGTTATTTGCGTCTGTGTAGCCTGCAATGTTGTCTAATAGAGTTGAATGTGGTCAGGGGATCACCCCACGACCATTCAGGTTGCTGTTGATGTGTTAATAATGTTGTCATCGTCCACTCTCGGAGGTGGAGGTGGCCACCAAATAGGCTGCGGCTCGGCAAATTATACCTCGAGCCGCTGTGTGGGCCGCCTGGTTGCCTGCGAGTGGGACGCCGGTGTGAGCCGGGGTTCACAGGAAGAAGACCGTCAAATTTTCAGTTTTGAAATGCGAGGACGATGAAGTCGAGGCCATCGCTCCTCGAAGCTCGCCGCTTTCTCTGCTACCATAACTTGATTGAAGTATGCAGGCCGTCTGCAACGAGAGGAGAAAAAATTATCTGAACGACCACTAGTCAGTAAGAAGCTTGCCTTTGCCTCGCTTTTACTGCGTAGCACGTCACTGAGAGGTTCTATCGGGGGATTTTCGTCAGTGAATAATGTATTTCACACAGCTGCTTGTCCTTTATGTCAGTAATACTAGTGTATAGAAAGCAAAAGGGGGCAGTAGTGCTTATTTTATCGAACGGTGTAGTTCCCCTTGGACCATCCCAGGGCCGCTTCTTAGTCCGAAGGGGCCGAATTATATTGCACTCTCCTGCTTGCAAGACAGTATTAGGGCGTGTGATTGTTTTATTCTTGTTTTACGTTTTCAGCTATATCCCGGCTGCGGCGGCTGCATTTCCGATGAAGGCGGAAATGTTGTAGGCCCTTGTGCTCAGATTTGGGTGCACGTTAAAGAACCGCAGGTGGTCAAAATTTCCGGAGCCCTTCACTACGGCGTCTCTTATAATCATATAGTGGTTTTGGGACGTTAAACACCACCAATCAATCAATTACGTTTTCAGCTATATATTTTTCCGGTGTGATAACTATACACAGTGTTGTTCGTGAGCGCTTGTGAGTCATGTTCATTCTTTCTCTGTCCTGTTTTCGCACTGTCCCCCTCAGTATTAGAACGTTATGTTTAGGTTCTGAGAATGATTGCTCATGGTCCTACTAAGAACTAACGACATATTTTAGATATAGTCTACTTGAGGTGTTCTCGTGATGTTTCAGGTATGGGCCGATTCGTGGTAGTTTTCCACTGGTGAGAGCGATCAAATGATGTGTTTCAATGTAGACGGTAGAGATTCAACATCGTGCACATAGATGCCCATAAATGACATTTAATTAAGCATTTTTTGTAGTGATTTGAAATTTTTATCTACCCTTTTCTTAATGGTCCTAGGGTGCTGCAAATGCTAAAAGCCCATCACCGTTACGTAACAGACGAACTTTTATTTAAAATATTTTCAGCGCCTTTGCATCATTAAAAAAAGAGGGGGGGGGGGATCTTAAAATTCCTCCGGAAGTGGTAACTGAAGTGTCATTCATGGGCGTGATATTGAATCAACTCTAACTTGTACACCCGGGATACAAAATTTCATCCTGCACTCCAGCGGCAAACGATCGCGCATCGACCCATACCTGAGACGCCCTGCAACACTTTTTGAGCATAGTCAGAAAATGCTGCCGATCGGTAGTAGAGGCTCCAGATAATACGCGAGCGAAATAGTATAGCGCCACGCGCAGCCTGGACATCACTATAAATTATCAGTCAGCTAAAAATTGCTTTCTCTTCTCTCGACAAACCACGCAATAAGCCCAAAAATCACCCGTAGTGAGCCCATCTATCAGCCATTGCCTTATTTGAACATGGCGCGCTAAGTCGTTACGGAGATCGCCGCGGGAGGCCGTCACTTGTCCAGGCGCGTGCGCACGATGGCTCTGGAAAAGCCGCGCATTCAAAGAAAAAAAAGTGCTCAAGGTCACAAGGCCCGCGTGACGATTTTCGTTTGCCCCTCCCATCTCTTCCTGCTTAGCTTCCAGCGCTTTCGTCGGGACGAGAAAACAGGGAATGCGACTGCAGCGCGTGAGAACTCCGCTCGTACTGGACGGATTCTTCAAATTTTTGCGACGTTGAATTTGTGAGGGAATAGGCTTTTTCAGTGAATTAATTCCATGGTTACTAATAAAAGTGTTTCAGGGCCCCTTTAGGTAAACTCTGCCTACATTACGCCATTTTTTATTATTAGGACCATGTGCATTCATTATCAGAACCTCAACACATCAGCATGATACTCTCTTGCAAGCCATAAACTGGATTATTATTCTGACCCCTGGGGCTAAGAAGGCATTGAATATAAACTGCCTTTCAGTAGTACAAGGGGGAAAAACCGTTCTACAAAAAACAAGCACTATTGCCCCCTTTTTACGTTCTATACGGTAGTATTACCAAAATATTTGACAAGCAGCTGTATGAAATGCATTATCCACTGCGAAAAGCCTCCGCTAGGACTTCTTGTTGACATGCTACGCAGTGAAGGCGAGGCAAAGACAAACGTCGCGCTACCTAGTGGTTGTTCAGATAAAAAAAAATTCTCTCTTAGAACAATACTACCCTTCTGAAAACGTCGGCGTATCTTAATAAAAAAACATACTATGCTACAATAAACAAGTCATATTTTCACTTGGACCGCTACATTGAAAAAATTAAGCCGCAATATGAGTCAAAATGCTACTTTGCCCAACTTTCTCACAATCTTCTGGCAAAGTTAATGCTTCATTTATTCAAGAATATTTTATTCACTTCATAAAATAACATATAAAGCATAAAATGTGTATACATTACTAGTGAAACAATTTGTGTTTTTTATAAAAAACGCTGAACATGCACCACATTGCAACTTTTTGTCATGGTGAAAAATAAAGAAAATGTTCGAACAGAAAGGAATAAACTAGCATAGTAATGACAACGTGGTGCCTTTAGATTAAGTAAAAAGTTGTTTTGTAGTGATTACTCAAACCAGTAATGCTATATAAAACATTTACCGCAACGCAGTTTGACTTATGTGACCAAAGTTGGAAGCGCCCTCTAGTCAATACATATTTTTGAAATTGTACTTAATAACTGCTGCCCTCGTTGACAAATACCTGCACGGTTTTTTTCAGCATCGCGCGTGCGCGTGCGCGTGCGCGTGCGTGTGCGCGTGTGCGCGTGTGTGTTGTGTGTGTTGTGTGTGTTGTGTGTGTTGTGTGTGTTGTGTGTGTTGTGTTGTTTGTGTTGTGTTGTTTGTGTTGTGTGTGTTGTGTTGTGTGTGTGTGTGTGTTGTGTGTGTGTGTAAACTTTTGGCGCTAGAACGAGGCAAGAACGGAAGGCAAAATGCGTTTGCACTCCAACAGCACCTTTTGGTCGATAATAGTTCGCTGTACCGGAGGCATATTCTCGGCTTACTAACGTCAGCAACATGACATATCTACACTGATGCTACATGGCACGCTGAAAAATGCCTTTGTAATCGTCGCTGCGTGACAGCGACTTCTAGTCTAAACGTGATTTGAGGTCTGCGCTTCGGTATGATTTCTTCGTGTTACTAATTTAGCCTTACCTTGTCCATACTGCTTCTTTGAGTTACCAAATGATCATAGTTGGGATGTTAGGCACGAACGACCTGCTTTGCGTGTGTAATCTAATTCACAATGCGAGCCAGATAATATTATATGCGTATATGCACGCACAAATTTGATACATATTTTGACTGCCAAAAGTTGGGTGCCTAAAAACTACTTTCAACTGACACCTATGATAAGCGAGCACAGCGAGTGACATCAACAGTGCGAGTTATGTTTTCTTTTTGTTTCTAATTCAGGTCCAGAGCAGAACTACCAACGCAGCTTCGTTGAACTTCAGTCGCCTCCTCCATGAAACGGACGCCGGGGTGTTTGAATCTGCCGAAAGCGTGCTTCAGGTCTTGCGACTCGCCGACGAGCGGTTTCGTGGTAACGACGTTATTCCTCCTCTTACAACTCCGTGCAGCGGCGATGGCGGGGATTCTCGGTGTTGGGCGCTCAACTACCAGAGACGGTGGAACCAACTACTGAACCGTCGTGGCATCGAGTTGATCGAGCTTCCCGAGAACGCGTTCTTCTGCCTAACTTTTGGAAACACTCCCGAAGTGCTTCAAACACCCGAAGACATCCAGACACTCACCGTATGCTTATGGTTGTTTCGCGAGCACCAGTGCGTTCGAGGCGTGAACATGGCCGCGTACGTGGTGGCGCCACATAACTCTGCACTGTTCTGGAGGCTTTTTCAGCTGAGCAAGCATGTCACAGCAGTCGAGCTGCGAGACGTCCAGAATAATGTGGACAGCCTCTCTATTCGCAGATTGTTCCGTGGCAGAGCAGAGCAACTAACGGAGCTCGTCCTCGCTGACTTCTTTTTGTACGAGAAGGATGCACGGGATCTGGCAGCACTGTTGAGCTGCAACAAGAGTCTCAGCAGACTAGCCCTCATCAATCTGAACATCAAGGAACATTCATTGGACTCCATTGTTGCCAAAATAAAAGATCACGGTACACTCAAAGAAGTGGAATTGACAGAAAGTCGAAAACCAATCGCAAGCCACACCATTGCCTACTTGCTTCAATCACGCGTCCTGAAACTGCGATTGAATGTAGACTGCGCCTGGGAAGCAGTTTCTACCATTCTGGCCAAAAATGTAACACTCGCTCAACTCACCATTATCTCGCGCAGCACGTTCCACTCTGCGCTGGGGCCGCTGGCGCGTGCAGTGGCCACAAGAGAAACTCTTCAGAACCTTGTGCTTGTCCTGGATCCGTCATGGGCGGAAGCCAATGAAAGTCACTTCGACTGGGAAGACCTAATAGCCATTGTCACGCAATGTCGCGCGCTTCGAAAGCTTAGAATAAGCGTGCCTTCTTTGGGAGACGCGGCTGCGAGAGCAATATCGGAAGCAATCGGCATTAATCGGTCACTGCACGAACTCCACTTCGATGGTTGTGTGATTCCTTGCTACAGCGCAGTGGTGTTGCTGGAGGGCTTATTACGCAACTGGACGCTACGGTTGCTGAGCCTTATGAATACCGAAGGCGATGATGCGGAGCATCAGCACTTACTTCGTTTCATGCTGAAGAACTCTTTGTGCCACAGAGTTTCTGTTCGGTACGAAGGCTGTCAAGCTAAGTTGTTGGATGAAGCTATGAGAAACAGCGAAATTCAATTCCCCAATTTCAATTTCTTTTGCAAGTACGCACCAGATGCGAACATTGTGTTTGAGGCCCTTCCGTGCGTCAAGGATTCTTTGACAACCCTCTCCATCGATAGCAACGAAGATTTGTTTGACGCGGGCGCCGAGTCTCTAGCCCGGCTCTTCAGTGACAGCGAGATTCTAAAAAACGTCGTGCTTGATTTTCCCGCAACTCCCGACACTTGTGTGATTTTGCTCCAGGGTCTCGCACAGTCTCGCTCCATCACGTCCGTCAGCCTGATCGGCTGGAAAATCGGTGTGGCAGATGACACCGTGCCGCTCGCTTTCCAAGACTTGCTGCGCGTGAACTCGAGTATCATGGAAATTACTCTTGCGCAAGGTGGTACGGGCGAGATCGACATTCTCCTCAAGCACCTCGCTATTGGCTTGAGGGAAAACCGCAGCCTGTCTGAACTTGGCATTTTGGGTGCCCCTGACTTTGGCGTGGTGCGGGACCCAGCCATCATGCAGTTGCTCCGAGTAAATCGAATGGCGGCGTCGCTTGCGGCGAGGTTGCTTTCAGGGGCTAGGCTTAGCACATGGGCTGTACATTCACTGGAACGAGTAATATCGTGTGATTCAATGATCTCAATTTTACAGTCTCATTTGGCAATAGGCAGCGATGTCATCAATGAGAAACTCTCTGAAGTGCTGGTTAGGATAAGAAGCGAGAACTTCAAGTTGGAGAATCCAGATAAGCAATGCAGATGCGTTTCTCCAGCGCATCATGACAATAAAATTGAACTGAGAAATGCTCTTCTTTGTGAGATTGGGAAATATTTAAGCCTTTCTGACGCTTCCTCGAAACAGTAATTGTTGAAAAAGGGCTGCATTTTCTGTCTTACGTCAATAACCTTTTCTTTCAACGTTTCCCCATTATTCATATCCATCGCCCAACAAAGCTTGTTGTTCTCGTTTCCTCTGGTATAAACTGAACTTTTACACATCGCAAATGCCCAATGGTTCATTGGTTGGATTTCTATTATTCACTGTCTTACTGTATGAACTTGAACGTGTAGTCTGTGGTGCTGTTATGCCAAAAAAATCTTTCGAAGTGCGATGAAACTTCATCTGTGCGCTGCTAAATCTTCATTTGTGACACACTTTATGGCGTTTTATGTAGAGTTTTAGCCCATAAACGACGTTTTGACTCACCACATTTCTTCACTAGGTTGGCGACGTCATGCTAACGAAACCTGAAATCTGATCATTATAACTGGTTATCATCAAAGGTAGAAACATACTAGAAGTCTTATGCACTAGCGCGGGCTTTCCTTACTTTCTCCGCTGTGCTGGTTATAGGTGGAGGTGTCTTACAGGTGTACAGTTACTACAAAAGTTCATGGTACGTGCACTGAAAAACACTCCGATGTAGGAAAACCACATGATAGTCATCGTAATTATAATATGAAGATCGCCTTAGGTAGAGTTTATCATCACAGGTAGTGTAAGATATGCATAGTTGTACAGCGTTAACAAGTGAAATGTATCAAGTGATACTCGACAGGTGGCTGTGCTGTTCATTTGAAGTTTGTGTAATCAAATGTCCGGTCACTATGCTCCCGAAGATTGTGAGAGCATGCATCAGCGCATACGTAGGTTCGTTGAACTTCCTTTACCCCTTCTGTACTGCATGTGTGCACGCGTCTTCTGTTTAATAAATTGAAAAACGGCGCTTGTCTATTTCTCAATTCATCATTCGCACTCGTCAACTTCCCAAGAGCTGTGGCTGACCTCATGAAAGAACCATGTACCGGGCGTTCCAGATAAAAAGCATCACGCAACAAAAAATAAAAATGAACGCTACGCATCTCCAACTAGCGCGGTATTGTTCTTAGCTGTATGTTGCGTGTCAAAAAAGTTTCTTGATTCATCAAACATCGTAATTACCCAAAACTGTTTAAGTACCGTTATACATACTGACTCTAGAGAAAACGTTTGAATACAAAACTTGTTGACCTTATCCAGAAATAAAAATATTTTCGGTAAGATATCAACGCTGGTTGATTTTTTTCCAATGTGTAAAGTGCGCAAAATCGAAACAAAAAATACCACCTGATTGCCGCCTAACGCGCGGCACTTTTAGTGCGTAAACGGATGAGCCGCAGGCTTCTCGCGCACAAAGGTCGCTAAAACAGGCTATCGGTGACTACGATATACGTTAAGCGATGGTTAAATGATATTGTTCAAAAAGAAAAAACCCAAAAAACTTCGACGGAAAAGAGGCAACCGTGCACGTGCTATGCGATTCGAGACCGGAGGCATCATTTGATGTTGTGGAGGCTTTTTTTTCCCTTTTTTTATCGGGCCTATGATAAAAATGAGGGTGGGGGACACAGCCATGCTACCACAGAGCCATGCCATGTCTCACAACTGCTTTGGAAAAAGACCTTATACCGGCGTGATGTTGGTGAAACTTTAATTGTGGTAGCAGTGCTGGCTATCTAATTTCATGAACGTAAGATTTGCACTCCTATTATACCGGCGTCACGTCGGGTTAACGTCAATTGCATACCTAACGTTGTTTACTGAAGACTGTGTACGTATAGCAATATCCCCCGGCTACCATCCTCACTAGCACAAGCGCTATATAAGGTTACCGCTTCTGGTGTTAGTAATATATCCCCGTTCCTGTAATATATCCCGTTCTGCAACCACACTGAAAAAACCACGCATATAAAAAAAAGTGCTCAAGGCCAAGAGGCGCGCAGGACATTTTTCTGTGGCCTTACTATTCTTCCCTGCTTAGCTTCCAGCGCTTTCGTCAGGACGAGAGAAGAGAGAATGCAATTGCAGCATGCGAAAAACCTTTAACACTTCACTGGCACTCGGCGGATTCTTAAAGTTTTTGTGGCGTTGAATTCGTGAGGCAATAAGCTCTTCCAGTGAATTCATTTCATGGTTACTTGAAAGAGTGTTTGAGGGCTCTTTGAAACATATGCGACTGTTAAACATATGTTTCTGCGTTCAATTTGTACCTGTGTCTAGCTTCATTTCGTAAGGTGTCATTCTATAAAAAAGATACACCACAGTCAGCTTCCTTCTAACTGCTTTAGATATATGATAGATTTCTACGGTACGTGGGATCTGCCACCAAATTTTAATGCGAAAGTGTTTTATGCCGGCGTCCACCACGGATCCGCTGACGTACACTGCAAAAAATTGCGCGTATTGAGGGACAGAAAAGCGGACGTAGTGTCCATGAAACAAACACACTCCAGCCCTTCGCCAACATCAAGGGTAACGTTTAAGAATCGCAGAATTCACCCCTTCGCGAGTATTATGGATACAGCACACGTTTGCCAGTGATGTTTCTCCGAATAGTGCCAAACCAAGCGTCTTCTCCGTCATGAAAAAATTAGATGAAAGTAATTATTTGTAACACGGATCACCTCCTGAAATTTATACTATGTCCGTCGCATACCATCATTGCATCCATCGCCGCGGCATGCTCTGCACCGCTTTTATTCTATGAAACTGTATTTGCTCCCAAATGGTGGTTTAGGCAAGCATCGCGGAAAGAGGAACCATCCAACCACGGCAGGCACACCGCCTTCGTCACTCATCCGTCGGCTGTAACTACTCTAGTCACGAGCCCGACTACCCTCCTCAAAGGCCAGGACGCACACACGGAACGGGACTCGGCTGGCGTTGCTTTTTTATCTGGTCTGCGTTTTGGAGGTGAGTGCCTAACTTCTAATTTCCTCGCCGTTAGGGTTACAGCTCGTGCCACCAATGATCTGTGTCGTGCAGTACCTACGCAATATCGGAGATTGGGCCGCTTCGAGTAAAGACGAGGCCATAAACGCAGTGCTCCTTTCTCGCTGTCGGCTTGTATCATGCATGCTTTTTCTGAGACGGAGTACATATTGAGAGCAGAAAATACCACATTTAGCGAAATCACCGGTTGACTGTGTCGGTCGTGTTTACATTGCAAGCGTGACCTTTTCATTGCGCTCTTATTACTTGTCCACAGCAGTTCCATTACTCGATGCCAACAGTGTTCGGGCTTGTCAACGCCATAGTGCAGCCGTTTAATGTGTGCGCCTCCCTTTATGCTGGCGGCGTTTTGTTTACGCTGCTGGAACACCGCTGCGCCGAAAGACGAGGCGATATCTACCATAAAATTTTGGCGCGCTGCAGCCTACGCGCGTGTTCTCCCCGTCCGGCCGAAGTTCATCTCCTCTGCGTTGTTTAAGAAAAGGTGGCTGAGGGCAGGTAGCGCCAAGGTGCGAACAATAAGAGAGAACTTTAACTGAAGAAGGTAAAGCGGCACGTGAATCCTTCCAGAAAGCTAGAAACCATTACTCGTAAAACGCGTTCTAAAAATAATAATAAAAATTCACAGCATATCCACGGGGTGAATGATGATGAGTGGGCGAAGCTCCTGAGGGGAAATCATCGGCAAGATCGTGACTGTTCAGTGAAAGTTCAGTGAAAGATCATCATCAAGAAAGACGTGAGAAACACTGTGTGTGTATATGTACGGCAGGGTCATCGCGCCGTTGCCGTGACGCTTGAGCCTCTCGTTCTCGAACGCTGGGATCTTGGAGGCGGCAGCGCGCAGCCAGACGACACGCTTCGGCCTCCCGCTTTCGTACGGCAGGATCTTGGTGGCGGCGTCACGCAGCTTCACGGGGTGCTTCTGCCTCGCGGTCTCGCACATCGGGATTCTGTCTGCGAGCACGCACTGCCACTGCCGCTCTGTGGTCTTATCCATCGGGCAACTCCGAGCACGTGCCAACAGTGACGGATGTCATTACAACGCTCCCCGCCATCTAGTAAACAATCGAAGAACTAAGCTGCCGCCGCTTTGCGCGCTCTCCGCTCTGCGGCCTTATCCATAGGGCAACTCCGACCGCGCGCGAACAGCGAACGGATTTTATTACAACGCTCCCCACCATCTACTAAACAATCGAAGAACTAAACTAGAGGTAGCCACGCCATCTAGTAAACAATGCAAGAACTAAACTAGAGGTGGCTACATACATACGCCGAGGATGGACAGACCCACGCATTTGACCTAACGGTGAAAATTTCCGGAGGCCTCCAGCACGGTGTCCTTCATAATGATATCGTGGTTTTGGGACGTCAAACCGCAGGAATTCTATTTAAACATCTGTTAATCCCCAATGTGGTTAGGAACAAACTTTCTGTGTAGAACAATGGTAGGATTTTGAGTATATGAAGAGTATGGTGCATATTGGGGATTTTTTTCATAGAGAGATAAAATTTAGTGAAATATGATAGTTTGAATTAGCTGATTATCAGTTTTCTTTCTGTGAGCAAAAATAATTTGATATGTGTACAGTGCCAAACAATTTTTACAGCTGGTGAGTGAGTTGCAAAGATATTGGTTTTTGTAAATGTTTGGTTGTAAGTTTAGCGTTCAGGTGGTCCTAGTAAAAAATATGGTGAATAATACATTTTGAGTTGACCTTCATTTGTCACTGTAGCAAAAAGCCACCAAATTGTTTTTTATTTTAAGAGACGAAAACCTTTTCCACGTGGGTGCTGGGCTCTGTGCTTGCCCGTGTTTATACCCTGAAGCAATGCGTCATTGTGGTAAGTACTAGCTGCACAGGCATGAGGAACATTTAGACAACATATCAATTTCGTCAGTGCTTACTTTAATAGTTTGCTATCTAGTACTAGCCTGCATGAGTAAACGAGAGATACAAACCGTACTAGCGTGCATTTAACCACATGCAGCTATCTTCCGACAGTTCGAATTTTGTGCTTGTGCAACACTGGTAAGTGACACCGATACAAGCAAGAACTTATTACGTGTGACATAAGATTTGGAAGTGGCAAGAACACCACAATTACGAAAAGGATTTATTCGAATCGGAAAAAAAATGTTTTCGTCGTGAACCAATACAGCTGTATTAAAGTGATAACGCATTCATTTAAAGTGACAATGCGGTGTTACCTGTCGTTGAGTATTTGCAGCAAAGTTTAGACGCACAGATGAAAAAAAAGGAATTTTCAGAGCCTCTGAAAATTATATGACTGGTGTTGCCTCCAATTAAAGACTGCTGGTCAAAGATTGGAAAAGTGAAAAAAAAAAAAACATTTTTACTATAGCGAGGCACTTATCATGAAGGTGGTTGTTTCTTTTTGTGAAGCTTCATTAAAAGTTGTGTTCTTTCTCTTCAGTTCTGTTTGAAGTTTGCAGGGTGAGAGCTACTTAATATCTTTGATGCCACTACCTCCTTAAAAGGAACAGATTTGATAGCGTAATGCTGTTAATGAAGTAGAATCAATTCATTTTTTCACTTGGAAACACAGTTGATATTTTAGTATTGTGACTGAAATAGAATCAATTATTTTTTTCTATTGGAAAGAAACCTTACAATTGATTTTGCAGAAGCTATTTCATTAACAAAAGGTATGCCTTTTTTGCACACTCTCAAGTCTATCTGGTTTGGTCACTACTAGGTTATAAATAGTAAAATGGTTTACATGATGGGTTGCGATAGTGCCAACTTTTTTATACTGAATTGGAAAGCTCTTATTCTTTTCAGAGAGAACTAAAATATTACAGGTCAAGTAATTGGCTCAGGTGATAAGTGTCAAGATGTTTTTGAAGCCCATATGACCTTACTTTTATATTTTCTTGCATATATTTGATTTAACACACTCGTTATAAATATGATGTTTTTAAATTTCTGTTTGTGTTA